CATACACATTTAGGATTGTCATATTTTTGAGGAATAGATTATTTAATCACTAGATAATGTCCCTTTTATCCCATGCATTTTGCCTTATTCCGAAGTCTCCTTCTTGATAGTAATATACACATGCTTGCTTAATTTTCATTGGTGTTTACTTGTTATATCTTCACCAATTCTTTTACTTATAGTTTATGTAAATATATTATTGTTTGTATATTTGTTTATGTTTATGTATATTTGTATATGTTTGTATATTACTTGTTTCTATAAATGTATATTGTTTGTAAAGCACGTATAGTTGGGTCTTGTGATTTGTTATCCAATTTGACAGTTTCTCTTTTAATTGGTGTGTGTATCCTTTTATATTTAATGTAATCACTGATATGATTGCATTTAGGTCTTCCATTATATCAGTTTTGTTTGTTGCTCCTGTGCTCTTATTTCTTGTTCTTCCTTTCTTGACATTTTAAAAATTATTTGAATGTTTTAAATATGCCACTTTGTGTATTTGATTTTTGGCTGTATCACTCTTATATATATATATATATATATATATATATATATATATATATGTATGTATGTATTTTTAAAGACTTCATTATTTTAGAGCTGTTGAAAGTTCACAGCAAAATAAAGAGGAAGGTACAGAGATTTCCCACTTACCCCCTGCCCCCACACATGCATAGCCTCCCCCATTATCAACATCCGCCACCAGAGTGGGACAGTTGTTACAGTTGACAAACCTACATTGACACACTGTAATCACCCAAAGTCCATTGTTTACATTAGGGTTTAGTCTTGATGCTGTACATTCTATTGGTTTGAACAAATGTATAATGACATAGGTCCACCATTATAATATCATACCAAGTACTTTCACTGTCCTAAAAACTTCTATGCTCCACCTATTCATCCCTCCCTCCCCAGGCCCTGGCAACCACTGCTCAATTGACCATCTCCATCATTTGCCTTTTCCAGAACGTCATATTGTTGGAACCACACAGTACGTAGCCTTTTTGGATTGGCTTCATTCACTTAGTAATATGCATTTAAGTTTCCTCCATGTCTTTTCATGGCTTGATAGCCATTTCTTTTCAGTGCTGAGTAATATTCCATTGTTTGGATGGACCACAGGTGATCCATTCACCTACTGAACAACATCTTGGTTGCTCCAAAGTTTTTACAATTATGAATAAAGCTGCTATAAACATCCCTGTGCAAGTTTCTGTGTGGACATAAGTTTTCAGCTTATTTGGGTAAATACCAATGAGCATGCTTAAGGATCATATGGTAAGAGTATGTTTAGTTTTGTACGAAACTGCCAAACTGTCTTCCAAAGTGGCTGCACCATTTTGCATTCCTACCAGCAAGAGAGTCCTTGTTACTCCACATCCTCATCAGCATGCTGTCTACTTTATCCATTAGAGACCTTAGCATTTTAATCATCATTTTTTAAATTCCTGGCCTGATAATTCTAACATCCCTACCATGTCTGGTTCTGAAGCTTGCTCTGTCTCTTCAAATTATGTTTTTTACCTTTTAGTATGCCTTGTAAGTTTCTCTTCATAGCCGGAGATGGTGTACTGGGTAAAAGGAATTGTAAATAGGCCTTTATTAATGTTGTGGGAAGTTGTAGGAGAGGGGAAGTGTTCTGAAGTCCTATGATTAGGTCTCACTCTTTTAGTGAGCCTGTGCCTCTAGACCTAAAACTTCACAAATGTTTCTCAGTGTTTTCTCCTCCACTTAGGTGGAACAGGATGGCTAGAGTGGGCTGGAGTTGGGTATTTCCCTTCTCCCACATAGAAAGCTAGAGCTGACTGGAGTTGGGTATTTTCCTTTCCCCAGGTCAGTTTGGCTCTGATATTACCACAGCAGGTTAGGCTCTGGTTAACTAGGTTCTCCTGAGGGCAAGCCTTGTTAAGAAGAACAGAGTTCTCTGGCATATTTTAAAATAGTTCCTTTTTCCCTCCCCCTGCCAGAAGCATAAGGGAAGTTTTCTCTGATATTTCCTGTGGAAGCTGGTTGAGGTCCTAGATGTAGATCTCACATTATTCACACTATTGCACCACACCCGACCCCCCCCCCCCCCCCCCCCCCCCCCCCCCCCCCTGCCTCATGACTGGTTCCCCTGCAGTTTTTAACTCTGAGAGTTTTTGTCAACAACTCTAAGTTTTTAAGTCCAGCAATTCATCAGTTACAGTTCTGGTTTTCCGACCCCAGCACTGGTTCCTGTGGTGGCTTCAGCTTCTGGTTTTCTGTCCTAGTAAGCTGAGACTCCTTGTATTCACCTGTCTGTCTCTCCAGTCTTGGGGACAGTGGTTTGTCCTGTGTTCTGCTCTTAAGAGTCTGAGAAGAGTTGATTTTTTAGTCCATTCAGCTTTTTACTTATTGTTAGGATAGAGTGGCAACTTCCAAGCTCCTTACATGTGAACTAGAAACTAGAAGTCTTTTTTTAATGGTGGCTCTAGAGATTATAATGTACATATGTAATATTTTATAGTCTGCTTAAAGTTGATATCACCCCATTTCAAGGAAAATGTAGAAGACGTACAAATTTATAGGCCCCCTTGCACTTTCTTATGCTATAGTAATTATATATATTGTATCTACATATATTGAACCCCACCCAGATATTACAATTTTTCTTCAAGTGCCATTCATATTTTAAGAACTTGAGGAGAAAATATACTTACCCAGTTATTTATCATTTCTGCTGCTCTTCCTTCATTCTTGATACCCCAAGTTTCTTTCTGATATTATTTCCCTTCATCCTAAGAAATCCCTTTAAGTATCTCATTTAGAGCAGGTGGAAATGCTCTATGGAAAATCAATTTGCATATGGAAAATGAATTGTCTTAGTTTTCCGTCATCAGTTAATGCCTTTATTTCACCTTCATTACCTGAGGATATTTCCACTAGGTATAGGATTTTGGGTTGACCATTCTTTTATGTCAGCTCTTTATTTTGTTCCGCTGTGTGTTCCACCTTCCATGGTTTCTGATAAGAAATCTGAGGCCATTCAAATGATTGTCCCCCTATATGTAATATGTCATTTTTCTCAGGTTGCTTTCAAGATTATTTTTCTTTGCTTTAAATTTATTCAGTTTGAGTATATGTGTCTAGCACAGTTTTCTTTGAGTTTATCCTGTTGGGGATTCACTGGGCTTCTTGAATCTGTAAATGTATGTTTTTTACCAAATTTGGGAAGTTTTCAACCATTATTTCTTCAATAGTGCACCATATTAATACAAGATGTTAATAGCATGGGAAACTGGAGGAGGGGGGAGGCGAATATGTGGGAAATCTATGTACTGTATGTTCAATTTTCTATAAATCTAAAACTGTCCAAAAAATAAGGTATATTAATTAAAAAACTAAACATGCAACTATCATATGACCCATGAATGAGTCTTCTGTGCATTTATCTGAGAGAAATGGAAACTTTTGTTCACTCCAAAATCTGTATATGGATGTTCATAGAAGCTTTATTCACAATAACTAAACAATGGAAACAGCCCACATGTCCTTCAGTGGGGCAATGGTTAAACAAACCGTGGTATATCCATACCATGGAAAATTACTCAATGTTAAAAAATGAGCTGTTGGTACACACAGCAACCTGGATGAATCTTCAGAGAATTATACTAAGTGAAAAAAACAAATCCCAAAAGTTTACTTACTGTATTATTCCATTTATATAACATTCTTGAAATGATGAAATTATAAAAATGGAAAACAGATTAGTGGTTGCCAGGAGTTGAGGAGGAGGAGGTGGGTATGGGAGATGTATTAGTCAGCTCAGTCGGCTATAACAAAATACCATATACTGGACGGCTTAACAGAAATTAACTTCTCACGCTTCTGGAGGCTGGGAAGTCCAAGATCAACATGCCAGCCAATTTGGTTCATGGCAAGGGCCCTCTTCCTGGTTTGCTGATAGAAGCCTGCTTGCTGTATTCTCATATTGCAAAGAGAGCAAGCTTAGATCTCTCCACCCCCTTATAAAGGCAGCAATTCCATCATGGGGGTCCACCCCCATGACCTTATCCAAACCCAAGTATCTCCCAAAAGTCCCACATCCAAATACGATCACATCTGGGATTAAGGCTTCAATATAGGAATATAGGGGGACACGAACATTCAGTCCATATTAGGAGGGAAGTGGATGTGTCTATAAAACAGCAACATGAAGTTTCATTTGGTGATGAAAATGTTCTGCATCTTGACTATGTCAATGTCAATATCCTGGTTGTGATATTGTACTATAGTTTTGGAAGGAAGATGTTACCATTGTAGAAAACTGGGTAAAGAGTACATGAGATCTATCTGTATTATTTCTTACAATTGCATGTGAATCTATAGTTATCTAAAAATAAAGTTTAATTAAAAAATTGTCTGCAAACAATCCTCCCTTTTATTGCCTGCACCAGGGGTGAACGACTCCTACTGCCCCACCATTTGTAGCCAACTGTTCCATCCCAAGTTTCCTTAACAAGACAGTGGCCTAATCAGTGCTGTGTTTGTAGCCTACAAACAGTATTATGTCAGTCCTTGGGGGTGCCATCGTTGACTTTTAGTAGGGTGAGGTTTTTGGTCCTTTGGGGGGGCCTTTAGTTTAGGGCAGGATGTAACAATCACTACTTTGAGGTAGGTGGCCTAAAGGGGATGTATTTATCTGCCTTTTTGAGGGGTAAGGTGGCACTGTCATTCCACACACTTTGCCCAATGGGTTCCTGAAATCTACACCCTGATATTGCTGGCCCCAAACCCCCTGCAAACACATGCAGAAACACCAAACATTTTTCCTGCTTGTCTGTGGGATAGTGTTAAGGAAGAAGTTTGTCTTTAGTGCTGAGTCCTGACCCAATCCTTATCCCCACTGTCAGGCTAACTGGACCTTCTGATCTGACCCCCGACCCCGCAGGACTCACCTCCCTCCCCCTCACACAGCTGCCTCTTCCCTTCCTTCCCCGCTCCCCCCATGAGAGAACTCGCAGAGACACACACATTTTCACAACAGGTCCGTTTTATTGAAATCACCATCAGGGCACCCTGCTGCTGTCAAATGACGTCGGCACCACTGGCCATTTCTCAGGGGTCAGACGTTAGAGACTTCTCAGATGATTCCTCTGTGAGGTCTCTGGCCTCGCTCTGAAGTTGCTGGTGGTGCAGGTAGGCACATGAAGTGCTGGGCTTCTCCATGCTCTCTGCGTCCTCCTCTGGCTTATCTTGATTCAGCTCTTCATTCAGCCTGTGATAGTGACCGAATAGGGTTGTTCCTCTCACTTCCTTAGATTTGACTGAAGAGGTGGGACGTTTTCTAGAGGCTTTTTTAGTGGATCTCCTTCGAAGGGGTCTTTTGGCCCACGTAGTTTTCTTGGCCGCCTGGAAAGACAACAGGGTGAGCCCAGAAGGGCACTGGTTTGAGGGAAGAGTTGGGGGGATGGGTGGGAACAGGGGCTTCCTGAGAAGGGACGTGGGCTGAGGAGGGGCTGTGTGCCAGGCAAGGACAGGGGCGGAGTCTTGGTGGGGGGAGTCAAAGGGGAAGAGGAGGAGCTTGGGCGGGGTCATCTCACCTTGACACTGCCTCCGGACCTGGGTTGACAGGAGCCCTTCCTCATCTTCCTCTCTTTGTTCTTTGGCGAGGGTTGTTCCGTGACTGTGCTAGAAGCCTGGGATTTCCCGGTCGCCTTTGCCATGTCAGCGCCTCCCAGGGGTCTGTCTACTCCAGGCCTGCTGACCTGCCTATATATACCCCTCTATAGGACAGAGAGGGGCCACACCCTTCAGCTTTGTTTGGTCAGCAAGGCTCTCCTCCAGCCAATGGCAGCCGTGGGTTGGGCTTAGACATCACAAAGCTCTACCTTGACACCTCTAGGGGAGGATGGGGAGCAACCAAGATGTTCTGGTTGGGGGAAGGGGGCACCCCTAAAGAGCCTTCCAAACTGACCTGCCCCCCTCCTCATCTCCCCAGTCAATGCTGGTGGCACACATGGCAGGGAGAGGATGTTTCCTCCAAACCGTTCCCCACAGCCACCCTATTCACTGCTTCATTCTCTTCCTTCCCCCTTCACCACTACCCAGTTTCTGTATGTCTCACCTTCAGTCTATCCATGGTAATGTGGCCATATTGAACTCTACGAGCAGGTGTGAATCACCTAATTTCCCTCCTACACACTTTGAAGACCATTCTTCACTTGGCCACTACCAGGGATCTTTTTCATCCACCTCCTCCTCCCAGTGTCCACATAGCTCTCCTCAGTTTTCGGTTTTCCATTCTGAAATCACTGCCTTCAAGCTGTCAAGACTTCAGTGAATAAACTTGCTCTGCTGGGTATTCTAGTCTTGTTTCAAACGTGAGGCTCTTGCTCATCTCAGTGGGTGTCCTATCCAGGCTGAGGTTTTAATATGTAGGGGGATGAGGCAGATGCTGCAAGTTGTGCTGGGTGTTTGCATGCAGAAAACTACAACCTAAAACTGATGAATGCACCTAGGAAGGGACTTGGCTTAACCGGAGGCGTGTGTGCCTTATATACAAAGCTCTTCTCAACATGTATCTCCACCCACAAGATATTTTTATTACCTTATTTTACTACAGGCACTGTTAGCATCCTAACTCCTTTCCTTCTCCTGAGATTGTCTGGAGAAATAGACCTTACCTTTCTAGAGGGACATTGGTGGAATTCTTTGTTTTGAACAGCTATAACAAGCTTCCAGCTTCTTGGTGGAGACACTTTGTGATCTTCACCAAGTCCGTTTATCTCCCTAGACAGAGGGCCTCTCATTTGGGTTTTGTCCCTGTAGGAAAGAGATGATGGAGTTAGCCATAGGCAGAGTGGCTATATTAACATTAGACAAAAGAGATTTCAGATGAAGCATATTATCAAAGCTAAGGAAGTCATTTCATAATAATAAAGTTGTCAATTAATCAAGAGAACAAAAGTGTTAAATATTTTGCTCCTAATAGCAGAGTTTCAAACTATATGAAACAAAAACTGATAGAACTGCAAGGAGAAAGACACAAGTCCACAATCATAGTCAGAGGTTTCAATACCCTTCTCTCAATAAGTGAAAAATCAAGTAGACAGAAAGATATAGAAAATTTGAACTATGTTCTCAATTAACTTAACTGACATTTACAGAATAATCTCAATAGCATTAGAATTCACATTCTTTTCAAGCGCACATGAGACATTTACTAAGATAATATTCTGGTCATAAAGCAAGTCGCAATAAATTTAAAAGGATTCAAGTCATGTGAATTTTATTCTCTGACCACAATGGAATTAAATTTGAAATCAATAAGAGAAATACATCAGGAAAATCTCCAAATATTTGGAAACTAAATAATACACTCTTAACTCATGAGACAAAGAAGAAATCAAAGAGAAATTAGAGTATATTTTAAACAGAATGAAAAGGAAAACACAACATAACAGAATTTATGTGATGCCACCAAAGCAGTACTTACAGGGACATTTATATTACTAAATGCATATATTTTCAAAGAAGAAATGCCTCAGATCAGTGACCTGTGCTTCTCCCTTAAGAATCTATATAAAAAAAAAGCACATTAAACCCAAAGACAGCAGATGAAAGAAAATAATGAAGACCAAAACAATATCAGTGAAATAGAAGACAGAAAAACAACAAATAAAATCAATGAAACCAAAAGGAGATTCTTTGAGAAAACAATAAAATTGATAAACCTCTAGGGAGACAAATGACAACAAAAGGAGAAAAGACACAACTAATTGATATCAAGAACAAGAAAGGTGACATCACAACAGATTCTACAGATAATAAAATAATAAGAAAATAGTATGAATGATGTATGCCAATAAATGTGACAACTTGAAGGAAATGGACAAATTCTGTGAAAGACACAAACTACCAAAGCTCACTCAAGAAGAAATACATTTCAACTATACCTGAGATTATGCTAATGAGGTGACTTGGTGGAGCCCTAGATAACTTCTGGAAAGGATGTTGGCTGCCAGGGGAACCAGCCATGCGGTTAGAGGGTTGGAACTTTTAGCCCCACCTTCAACATTTGGGGAGGTTGGAGGGGCTTGGAGATTGAGTAAATCACCAACGACCAATGATTTAATTGATCATGCCTATGAAATCGAATCTCCATAAAATCCCTAAATGAAACTGTTTGGAGAGCTTCCAGGTTGCTCAGCACATCAAAATTCTAGGAGGGTGACACGCATGGAAAAGGCATGGATTACGCGTGCCCCTTCTCCCATACCTTGCCCTATGCATCTCTTCCTTTCGGATCTTTATGAGTTGTATCTTTTATAATAAACTAGTAATATTGAGTAAAAGAAGGAGGAAGAGGAGGAGGCAAAAAAAAAAAAAAAGAGCAGAAGAAGGAGAAGGAATACATAACCCAAATAGCCCTTTATACATTAATAAAATTGAACTTGCAGTTTAAAACTATCCCATAGAGAAAATTTCAGGCCCAGATGGCTTCACTGGTGAATTCAACTAAATGTTTAAAGAAAAACTAACACTAATTCTTCACCAACTCTTCCAAAAAATGGAGGAGGAGAGAACACTTCCAAACTCATTCTCTGAGGCCACTATTGCCTTGAAACCAAAGCCTAAGACATCACAGGAAAAGAAAACTACAGACCAATAGCCCTTATGAATATAAGCACAAAAATCCTCAACAACATACTGACAAACTGAGTCCAGCAACCAATAAAATGATTATACTGCGTGACCAAGTACTGTTTATCACAAGAACGCAATGATGGCTTAACATCCAAAAATCAATCAATGTAATACCCCATATTAATTGGTTAAATGAAAAAAACCCACATGGTCATCTCAATAGACACAGAAAGAGCATTTGACAAAATCCAACATTCTTTCATAATAAAAACACTCAACAAACTATGAGTAGAAGGAAAATTCCTCAAGCTGATAAAAGCAATATACAGAAACACCACGGCTAACATCAAACTTAATGGGGAAAGACTATAAATGTTTTTTCCCTAAGATCAGGAACAAGATAAGAATGCCCACTCTCACCACTTATATTCAACAGGGCAATTAGGCAAGAAAAAGAAATGAAAGGCATCCAGATTGGAAAAGAAAAAGTAAAATTGCCTTTATTCACAGATGATATGCTGCTAAAACTAATAAATGAGTTTAGCAATGTTGCAGATTACAAAATCAATGTACAAAATCAACTTTACTTCCATCTGGTATCAATGATCAGATATTGAAATAAAAAAATACAATATCATCTAAAAATAAGATAAAGTGAGGGGAAAATTTAACAAAATATGTGAAGGACCTGTGCACTGAAAACTATAAAATGTTGCTGAAATAATTAAAGAAGGCTTAAATAAATGGAGAAGTAGCCCTTGTTCACTGGTAGGAAGACGCAGTAGTTTTAAGATGTGGAAGTCTTCCCAAATGGGTCTACAGGGTCAACTGATCCCGATCAATATCCAATAAGTTTTTTGGAGAAATTGGTAACATGATTTTAAAATTCAAATGAAAACACAAAAGACTAAGTCAACTTTAGAAAAGAACAACGTTGCAGGACAAACAGTGCGTGATTTTGAGTTATTACAAAGCTACAATAATCAAAGCAATGTGGTTTGGGTATAAAGATAGATAAATAGATCGATGGAACAGAATAGAGTCCAGAAATAAACCCACACGTATCTAAACAACTGATTTTTGACAAGTGTAAAGGCAATTCAGTGGAGCAAGTATAGTCTTATCAGCATATGGTGCTGTAAAACTTAAATATTAATATGCAAAAAAATAGCATTCTGATCATCTATATCTCCCATCACATACAAACATTGACTCAAAATGGATTAAAGACCTAAATGTAAAACTGAAAACTATAAAACTTTCATAGTAAACTATAGGAGAAAATGGTTGTGATGTTAGGTTAGGCAAAGATTTTTAGATGTGACGCCAAACCACAATCCATAAAAGAACCAATTGATAAATTGGACTTTATCAAAGTTAAATAAAAACTTCTACTCTGTGAAGGACACTGTTAAGGGAATTAAAAGACAAGCAGCAGACAGGGAGAGAATATTTATAAACCATATATATGATAGAGAACTTGTATCCAAATATGTGAAGAGTCCTCAAAACTCAATAATAGGAAAGCAGATAGCCAATTTTAAAAACTGGGCAAAAGATTTGAACAGACGCTTCACCAAAGAAGATACTTGAATGGTTAATAAGCACATAGAAAACGCTCAAAATCATTGGTCAGTGGGGAAATGCAAATTAAAACCTAAATAACATACAACTACATGGTCATTTGAATGGCTAAAATCAAAAAACCTAACTATACCATGTGTTGGCAAGGATGCAGAGGAACTGGAACTGTCCTACACAACTAGTGGGATGGCAAAAGCACATTGGAGAACAGTTGGGCACTTTCTTAGAAAATCAAAAACATACATCTGACAGCATGATTTAGCCAGTTCACTTCTACGTATCTATCAGAGAGAAATGAGAGTACGTATTCACACAAGGACTTGTACACAAGTGTTCATAGCAGCTTTATTCGTAATAGCCCCAAACTGAAAAGTGTACAGATGTCCATCAACAGATGAATGGATAAACAAACTGTGGTATAGTCATACAATCAGCATACAAGACTACTGAGCGATGAAAAGAATAAACTATTGCTACACTCCAGATGGATGAATCTCAAAACAATTATGCTGAGTGAAAGAAGCCAGAGCAAAAATTGTGCATACTGAATGATTCCATTTACATAATATTCTAGAAAATTCACACTCATTTATAGTGACAGAAAGCAGGTTGTGGTAGCTTGGGAAGTGGGGGTGTGGAGGGGGTAGGAGCGAGGAATTACCAAGGGGCACGAGGAATGTTGGGGGTGATGGGTAGATTCACTATCTTTATTTGATCATGGTTTCCTGGATGCATACATGTGCCAAAACTTATCAAATTGCACAATTTAAATATGTGCAGTTTACTGTATGTCTACTATACCGCAACCAAATTATTAATAATATAATGAATATAATAAAAATAAATGATAAACCTTAGTCAAAATAGGTCAGTCCTTCTGAGTCTGGCCCTAACCTTAGCGCTGTGGGTCCACTGTGGGATTTGCCCGACTGTCCAGGCTGACAGTAACAAGAAAAAACTGCCTTTACTGGGCACTTACTTCATTCCTGGCACAGTGCTAGGTGCTTTCATAGGTATTATCTCATTTAAGCTTCAGCAAACTTATGAGGAAAGTTAAGAGGCTAAGTGACTTGCCTAAGGTTGACTTGGGGTGGAGTTGGCAGTGCACTCAGCATAGAAAAAGCAGCCAGACTTCTTATATGCAGTGACTCACTTGGCAGGGTCTAGAGCAGAAAATTCAATAAAGGGCCAAGTTTTGGGCATCATTTTAGCTAGTTTTCACTTTATAACAACACCAGAGAAATGAAGCCACTTTTGTTTTCGTGTCTTAATTTTGAAAATCTCACCAATTACCCTGACATACACAAATATCTGAAATGAAGCTATTTGAGTTCTGAAATAGCTATAGTATTTTTTCACTAGTGCCAGATGAATCTTTCTAAAAATACTTCCTTCCTCTAAATCCTGCCTTAGCTCCCTACAATTCACAAAAGAAATTCCAAAACCCAACATTCATGATAAACCCAGGCTACGAACCCAGTTATTTGTTACTAATACTTGATGAACATTTTATAGTTTTCTAAGCTCTTCTTTATAATTATCTATCTATACTTCTCATAAAAGAACAGGAATTAGAGTCTCTGTTTTGCCTC